TTTGCACCTGCATTGGCCTCTCCAAGAGCCAAGTCCGCCAGGCGATTGGACCCCAGCATAGTGTCTGAAATTACAATGCAAGGTATTTCTACCAAAGTAAGGTTCATGGATATATCCAGGCCTTATCCGGTTATCCGGGTGGACATTTTTAAAGCTATTATGTATAACTTTCGCATTGATTTCCTTCATTTTGATGGCTTGCATGGCTGGCAAAAGCAATCGCCAGGCCATCATCGAGAAAGAAGCCTACACCATTCCGCAGATCAAAAAGGCCTGCAAGGCTGGTACTGGCTGTGGTGGCTGTGTCACACCGGTGGGAGAAGTGCCGAAGCTCCTGGCACACACTCTGAAGAAGCTGGGAAAAGCCACAGCCACCGGCATTTGTGCTCATTTCAGCTACTCCAGGTGCCCAAGCGTTCAAAAATCAGCGATTTTTTTAAAGACCATAGGGCTCATAACGGACTTGGAGCATACGACGGTTTTAGACTTTTGGACTTCTAAAGAATAGTATGATGACATGTTGCGCGTCCCTCGCTTTGGCCAGGCGGGAGCTTTTTGATATCATCAAGGTGAAGGAGTTGAAGTCCTTTGAGGAAGTGCTGTCATCTGTGGGGCAGGGTTCCTGCGATGGCTGTGAACTGTGCAAACCCATCGTGGCCTCGATCTTGTCAGGCCTTTGGAATGATCATGCACTGAAGGCCGGCCGGGACCAGATTCAAGACACCAACGATCGGTTCTTGGCCAACATCCAGAAGACTGGAACCTACTCAGTGATCCCGCGATGCCCTGGGGGTGATATCACCCCTGACACACTCATCGCGTTTGCCACCACTGCCAAGAAGTATGGCCTTTGGACTAAGATCACTGGCGCCCAACGTTTGGGCATGTATGGTGCCAAGATCCATGACCTGCCGGACATCTACAAGGAGTTGGTGGATGCTGGCATGGAAACAGGACCCCTTCTGTAGTGACCCTCATTCATTGGCATTGGCAAACCATGTTCCAGGTTTGTTTCCCGAATTAGTACT